GTTAGTTTTTGGCATAAATTCTTCGACATCGTTTCTTTAGTGCGAATTATTTAGTTAGAGAGAGCTGACGCTGTTCCAACTGCATACAAATTTGAGTTAACTTTTACGCTATCGAGAACGTAAAAAAACTGTCATTATTGCTAGAAGAGAACGATTTATTTATATTTAGTACAAAAATGTGGTAATAAATATTACTGCCATAGTGTTACACATCAGAGCAGAATACTGTAATCCCTTTTATAACACGGTACTCTTATAACGCATTTTCATATTACGCGATTTCATTCCCTCTTATAAAACGGGTATTGATATGACGCGGGGATTTCACATGTTAAACATATTCCTGTACTGTGAAATTTATAATTATTTTTACAGTTCATAATTAATTTCGCGTACCTTTGCACATTGTGTCAATTGTGTTGTTATAAAATTAAATTAAATTAATTAAACTTATGTTCTTAGTTATTGGATTGTAAAGACATTGGTTATATTATATAATATTTGTGTATATATCTTGTGTGTACATAACGCCTTATATGTGGTCATACATTTATGTTGTAGTTATGTAGTTATGCGCGAATACTCCTACAACGCGTTTTCTATAACGCGGAACCAATTTCTGGTATAGGGGGAATTACTGTCATACCATACCAAACCGGACTTCGGTAAGTTCCATACGTGATCATTCGTGAATACGTTTCACGTTGCACGTAAGAGAAGCGGTATATGGCTATTTTTTTGTTGTTGTTCTAAATGTGCTGTCGAGCCCACGATTCGCCTTATGTCAAATAGAGCCAAAGCGTATAGGTGTCAGAAAGTGAAAGCCACCATCCCACTTTGAAATACGCGGTTGAAGTCTGAACTGTACTGCATACGATTGTGTGACAATCGCGCGGCAAATATAAGAAAAAATAGCGATTCCTTTCAGTAATTTTCTTTTGACGTGACAACGTCTTATAATTCAATGGAGCCGGCTGCACGCACGAAAAAACATGACTCATGTGGCGTTACCTCGCTCTGAGGCGTTCCATTTAAGACTTGAAGTGCAAGCGAGAGCGCGCAACGAGCGACAAAGAGGCACAATCGGACTCCGTGTTCGGCAGCGTTCGACATTTGTCTATCTATACAATAATATATTTACATGTTTTCGTCAAGTATGAAAAGTGAATGTGATGTCAATTGTTTATAGCAACGATAATTGCGATAATTGAAAAATGAAACCATTCCATTAGTATTTTCTTATGACGTTGTCACGTTCAACTATCGTCAGTAAGCCGACTTTTCAGACAACCGATTTTTTGCTTACACGTTCGGACGAGCTCACAGCCCACCTGGTGTTTAGTGGTTACTGGAGCCCATAGACATCTACAACGTAAGTGCGCGACCCACCTTGAGATATAAGTTCTACGGTCTTAGTATAGTTACAACGGCAACCCCTACAAACCGAACCGCTTCACGGCAGAAATAGGCGGAGTGGTAGTACCTACCCGTGCGGACTCACATGAGGTCCTACCACCAGTAATTACGCAAATACGTTAATAATTATATAAATCTAATATTAATGAGCATTTTTTTTATTACACAATGTTATTCCTTCATCGTGGAAGTCGATACTATGAACAGGTGTAATTAAATTATTTAAAACAATAATAGTAGTAGCTTTAAATGACCATAGCTGTGACCATAGTTATTCTGAGCTTAGGTTGTTGTCTCATTAGTAGTTTTTACTGGTATTAGGATGTCTTGTGAGACCGCACGTGTAGGTACGACCACCCTGCCTATTTCTGCCGTGAAGCGGTAATGCATTTCGGTTTGAAGAGTGGGGTAGCCGTTGTACTGTAAAAACTGAGAACTTAGAACTCATATCTCAAGGTAGGTGGCGGCAGTTACGTTGTAGATGTCTATAGGCCTACCTAAAACCAGGTGGGCCGTGAGCTTGTCCACCCACCAAAGTAACAAAAAAAATAAAAAATAGTAACGTTAAATAATATACATATTTTAAGGTAGGGCTTCACGTAAAAAGTAATGATTTATACACAATGATGTTTGTTTATAATAATTATAACAAGAGGTCCCGCAGTAGTCGAAATTCGACTATAATTAATTGGCATTTTAAGTTTGTACACTATTATGATTGTATTTTATACTTCTATAATCACAAATTTCGCCAAGACTACACTATAAAAAATATTAACAAAGGCAAACAATATTTAATCTCAGTTTGACAGCAGACGTCAAGAACAAAAGTTTGACAATAAATAGTATGCATGCGTGTGTGCATCAAATACATGGTATGTAGTGTGTGTAATGTTTTCTTTATTGATTTAATGTATCTTTTATGCATTATTTAAAAAAAAAATATTAGCATTGTGCACTTCTTCTCTATATTCTCTATAGGTGTGGAAAATATACCCCTCCGTACGCGCAATTTTCGTAAAAAGGGATACAAAGTTTTTGCTTCACGTATTAATATATTATAATAATCTCATTCGCATTCATAGCCAATCAAATCACTTCTCGGTAATTCCGAATAAACAAAAGAATATCACAGCAACGCACTTGAAGCCCGACGGCAATCGTCCGTGGCTCTCATGCGAGACGTTTTGGTTACAATTTTCTTAATCATATTTAGAAAATTGAATCTGAGGTGTGATAATAATAATTCTTTGTTATTGTGGGTCTTGCCAACATTGGAGCATAAAGTAAAAGAATGGCAAGCAATAATAGCATTTTTACGGAAGCTAGACGCAAGATTGCTTCCGGGCAAGAATAAGTAGGCCCGTTGTTCTGAAGCCTGTGCTTGAAGAAAAGAAGCGGGTTAGACCATATAAACGCATTGCTTACCGTTACTGTCTGACAATAAAAGAAGATTTGCGAAAATTTTCCTCATTCAAAATTCAAAATCATTTATTTCCACTTAGATGTCAATGTGACACACTTGTTGAATGTCAAAATATAAATAACAATGTTAACTCTACCACCGGTTCCAAAAAAACCCACAGTCCTGAGAAGAACCGGCGAAACAAACTCAGCGGGAAATCTTAATCTATCTTACTAATTCTGTCTTGGGACGGCGGGATGGATGTAATATGCTCTGCGTAAGACCTGTCCCGCCGTCTCAATAGCTCCGACTGGGCTCCGGCCCGGTCCGGGATAGGGCGCCGGCTGTGAGCGGCAGGAGTTTTTAGTGAGGTTCAACTCCCATATACATGGGGATCCGAAATTTTCTTCTGTGGAAAAAAAAACCAAATCTGTCTTGTTTTCAGCCAGCAAACACATTTTATAAGCAAAACAAAATCTAAGTAAATCTCTTTTTGGGGTAGGATCGTTCGAATTATCGTACCGTATGTTAGGGCTCAACTGGGTATGCGGGAGTTCAACCCACTAAGCAGCAGCTAGCGTCCGATTACCAAGACCATTGACTCTTTCGGTCGCTAAGACAGTGCCACAGGTCTCTTTGAAATACCCCGGTCAGGATCAGTGTACGTCGGGTAAAGTGGTCTTCTGTCTTTTGTTCTTTCTGATAGTGACAACTGGCACCGAAAGAATATATTGTCGTCACAGGCTCCATTGAGGCGTCCTGGTACACTTTCGGGGTTATGCGATGTCCCTCTTTTTAATGCTGAGAAGTCCCTTTACGGTTACCCGCTCGAGGGGTCACAGACCGGGTTATATCAGACTCAAGCGCCTCCAAGGATGAAGAGGGAGAAGAGAAAGACTGAGGTCCTCCTCCAGTATTTCCTCCCAGGAGACTACGCCTTGAGGAAGACGCACGAGTCACCCACCCCGCAGAACCCACTGCCGACTAAACCCCATCGAGCTCCATCACACCGGCTAGACGAAGCCTCTGGTACTGGATAGTGTGCACTGAAAATATATCCCTCAAAATTTTCGACATACACGTTGTTAGGGAACCGACTAAAATTCCCTTTTTCCTAATCCACGTCATCTATCGGCTTTATGAAGAATTGTAACGCGCCTCCTAGCGTGCGAAAAAAGAGGCTATTTAACTGAAAAATATTGCTTTTCGCAAATTTTGATATTCAACTTGTGCGTGTGTCCGTGTGTCTTAAACTCCAGCATACAGAACAGTGCCCCGGGGACAGAAGACCACAAAATATATCAAGCAAGCCTCTGTGAGTACCTTCCCCCTTTTTAGTCGGCTTAGTTTTCTGGGAAATAAAAATTTAATTAAACAAACCTTGTTTATACAACACATGTTTTAGTTTAACTAGAGGTCCCGCAATAGTCGAAATTCGACTATAATTAATTGGAATTGTAAGTTTGTACACTATTATGCTTATATTTTAAACTTCTATAACCACAAATTTCGGGCTACACTATAAAAATATTTATATATTTAATCTATTCTCAATTTGACAAGAGACGTCAAGAACAAAAGTTTGACAATAAATAGTATGCATGCGTGTGTGCGTCAAATACATGGTATGTAGTGTGTGTAATGTTTACTTTATTGATTTAATGTATCTTTTATGCATTATTTTAAAAAAATATTAGCATTGTGCACTTCTTCTCTATATTCTGTATAAGTGTGAAAAATTTCATACTCCTCCGTCCGCGCAATTTTTGTAAAAAGGGATACAAAGTTTTTGCTTCACGAATTAATATATAGATAGTTGGGAGGAAATTATGTGTTAAGCCACGAGATGATCGAAAATTATGTGTATTGTAGACTCGACTTTACTATGACATTATTGATATAAACCAGTGGTTTCTCTTTATCACACGTACTTACACGCGCTTCGTCGAACAAACACGTACATAATATATTAACGTTATATAACAAAAGTTAACTTATTAGAGGCGGCTATTCTAAATAGTCATAAAAAAGTCGTAGTAATTTTTAATAGCTGTGTTGTTCAGTGCGTTAATTTTAATAATATTTTTAGTTTTTATAATTTTTTCATTCAACAATAAAAAATTGTTTCTCGTATAGGTTTCTTGGACTATAAAAACGTTTTTTTTTTATATTACTAAAAATGTTATTGGTGTTTTTGATGTTGAGTGTTGCCAGCGCGAGTCAAGAGTGCTATTGGAACTCTGAATGTCCGTATAGCTTGTATTCTTCAAAGACCCCTTATGATACAGTTAGAGGGGATTTGAGAGATTACCAAATACCGAACAGTGAGTATTAGTACTTTTTTTCTTTGTCCAAATTTTTTTTCTTTTTTTTGCTTTTGTAAGCAGACGAGCGTACGGCCCACCTGATGATAAGTGGTCACCGTCGCTCATGGACGTCAGCAATGCCAGGGGGCAGAGTCAAGCCGCTGCCTACCATTAAATTAAGACTACAATGAAATCCTTGGAGTTTTGCTGTAGGAAGAGTCAAAATGCAGGTGTAGATGTCAAAGAGGCCGAGCTGGAGGAGCGCTCTTTAAAAGCAAGATTGATGCGACTTCAGTTTTAATTAAGTAACTTGATGATTATGTGTGAGAAAAAGACATAAACAAAAACACAAAGAAAGAGAAAAAGAAAAATCGTTAAGCTAAGCGTAAATATACTTCAATAGAATCAATACAATTCTTCTTCTTCTCAATCGTGTCCCTCTTGACAGAGTGGTCGTGATCGTCATGTAGTGTTGGAAGGGGCAGACTTGATACGTCTCACGATGTCGCGCCATCTCTCCCTGCTCGAGGCCATTCTACTGCATCAATACAATATATAACTTTAAAAAAGGCATTAAATTTATTTTCGTTTGGTAGTTGTGCATTTACATAACAAGGCGGATGGAAGACGGAACTTGAACGCGTATCTTCGGACATCAGATAAAAGTTCTTATCAAACCTTAAATCGCTCTTGCTGACAAGTTTTTGTTCTTACCGGAGAGAGGGAAGAGGTCGTTCGAAAAGACATTGGATGGAATGTGTGGATGACGATATGAGAGACAGAGGAGTGGGTGTTGAGATGGCGGCGGATAGAAGAGAATGGAATAGAAAAAATCGCCGTGTAGTTGGATAAGGTGGAGAAAGAAAAAGAAGAAGAAAAAAAAGATCCAATATCGATCCACCACCAATAATAACGGAAAACTAAGCAACATTCTGATTTAAAATTTATGCATGCGTCGTCTAACATATATTTTATTTTACTATTTCATCGTTTACTAAACAAATTAAGTTAAGCAAAAAAACCTATAAGCAGCTAGCTTACTTGGTAGTACTTACTTGGTACAACTTAACTGGTAGGCAGCGGCTTGGCTCTGCCCCTGGCATTGTTTAAGTCCATGGGCAACGGTAACCACTCACCATCAGGTGGGCCGTATGCTCGTCTGTCTACAAGGGCAATAAAAAAAAAAGCATTTGATTGGTGGCGGTGATGCGTAGTAGTCTCACTCGAGTGCACACTACTTAATATGACTGTCTGCCCCCTATAACTGTCTTAAAGCGCAAAACATTCATGTGGAAAACCGTAAATTATCAACTTCAGTACCTAATTAATTTCAAGAGAGAACGCGAAACGAATTATTTATTTATTCACATACAAAATGACAATTCGTACGCAATCGAGTTACTGAGCACATGTTGTGAATCATTCGGGTAAATAATGTAGTTGCCACGTCACAAATTTCAACAGGTGAACGTCGAAAAACCTGTACACAAAACCGGAAAACAAACATTCGTACTAAACATATGTAGGTATTTAATCTTGTCATTTCTTGGCGCAATCTTGCAATTGAATCTTGGTATCAAGTTTGTTAGACCGATCATTAAAATAAGTCTTGTCTTAAAAAGATTTGCGTGTATACCTACTTTATAACCAAGTATTCTATGAATAGGTAAATGAACCCGTCTTCTTGAGTCATATCTATTGTCGAAAAAGATGTCCTTGAAGTTATTTTTTTTTTCCTACCTATGCTGATAGCCTTGATAGGCTACTTCAGCTTCTCCTTGACGTGTAGGTGAGCTCACGGGGCTCTAACCGGGAGTGTTGCTAACACTGGCCCTAATAAGGGCGGTGCTTCGCAGAATCTACCACCGGATCGGTAACGCGACCCACTGAGAAGATCCGGCGAGAAACTCAATGGGCGAAACTCAATTCATATAAAATTTCGGCCCAGATGCATTTTGTTAGTGGAAATCGGCGAGTATTAGGAGTTTTTGTTCGTTAAACTAACTAAAAAACCACAAAAAAAAAGAAGTTCATAACAATACCACTCTTAATGCGTGGGAAGAAGTCCAACAATTTTCTTCTGAACAAAAAATTGCTTAAATAAATGTTTAATTTTGAGTTTTGTAAATTGGATGAAGTTATCATCATCATCATCATCTCAGCCTGTCCATTGTCCACTGCTGAACATAGGCCTCTCCAAGTGATCTCCAGTGCGACCGGTCCGTTGCCACCTGCATCCAACGTGACCCAGCGGTTCTTACCAGGTCGTCGGTCCATCTCGTAGGTGGCCGTCCCACACTGCGCTTGCCAGTACGTGGTCTCCACTCGAGGATCTTTCCGCCCCATCGGCCGTCCGATCTTCGCGCTATGTGGCCTGCCCACTGCCATTATGAAGTTATGAAGTGTACGAATCGCGTTTTATGGCCTCTGTAAAAATGAAGACTACACATGTCTTATGTTTATTCGCTTCTCTTAGTAAATAAATAGTATCTTCCGTTTACTTTCGAATCGTTTTTTATATCCGTTTTGGCTTCAGGAACCATTTTCTCACACACTTCACGTATTGGGTCATTATTTCACGTGCGATGAATACTGCGAGAGATCCAACAATGAACGAATTAACCTAATTGTATTGTTGTACTAGATTGTGAAGCCGTCAGTGTTTGGACGCTCAACCGCCATGGAAACCGCAACCCTGGGAAGAGTGTAACCGTCAGCGTCAAAGAAATAGCTGACCTCAAAGATGAAATTATTAACAGTTACAACGCCGGCAATAGTCAACTGTGTGCTCAGGTATGGGATTTTGAACAATTCCCAATTACAATATGCCTTCAGAATCGATCCTCAGTCGGGGGCATTAGCTTTGCCAAAGTTTCTTGTTTCAAAGGACTGTTTCTTGTCTGGTATTTATTTCCAGTAAATAGCCCATTAGAAAATCCATAGGAACTTTAATAAAAAACCAGTTAAACTTTGTCTATTTGTCTATTTGTGTGAACAATGTTCTTTCTCATTGTGAACCACATGGGAATGTCATAACAGAACACTATTTATATTGTTCTCGGTTCGGTTTTTTTAACCTTCAATACGTAACGGACGTCTTAATGGTGTGCAAACTTACAAATGCACGAGTTGGCACAAAGTAAGTAGCATGGCAATGCTTGCCACCACCAGCTATCTGCTATAGTTGGTAATGTCATGTATGTAGTCATGTATAATGAACATCAGATCTTACAGGTAATTGCTGCATTACACCTAAATACTAACCATTCCTTATTTCCTTCAAGGACATCGAGGAATTCAAGAAATGGACTTGGAACGAGACCCTGGAGATATCGCAATCTTTCCTCACGGGCACTGGTTACGAGGAGTTATACGACATCGGAAAAAGGATCCGGGAGAAATATCCTCATTTAGTCGAAGGATCTTCGAATGATTTCTATTTTAGGCCCACTAATGAACAGAGGACCATCACCAGCGCTGTGGCCTTCGTGCACGGGCTCACGGATGGTACAAGCCTGAATGTCAGCATCGACGAAGTGCAAGAAAGAGATGATGTTATCCGGGTATGTTTCCGATCTATTGTTGTATCACAATCTGAGCGGAGCGCTTGTACGGACCCCTGGGTGGCATTAAATGGCATGGTCGTGCTGGTAGCTTAGACACGATGGTCCGCTGAAGAATCCCTCCCAATTTCGTTTCAAGCATGACACGAACTTGAGTTCGGGTGACACAGGGGAAAGTTCATGTTAGAAGTAATGAGAGAAGTAGGATTGCGTGGATAGCTTTATGTTGGCGAAGATATAGAATCAGGCCACAACATAGCTATAATAATAACAGAACAATGTTTACAATATTTTCATAATTAATTGTGTAAGAATAGATACTCGTTCGGTGGAAGATGTTAGAGATGGTGTAAGGTTTTGTCCCTTTAGGAGTATATCACCGAACTCTTGAGAGCGTGACACATCGTGCTGATTGAGACAAACCTCATACAATACCATTGTGATTTCCGTATCGTGTCCCAAAGGCGGGCTCGGATAGCGTTCGTGGCCTTAAAATAAGACGCCATTGTATTAGCACCTCCTCCTCCTTCCGTCGGTTTCCTCATTACTGAAGGTCGTGGTCATGGCCTTGAAACAGTCTGCAGCTGAGTGCAGATCATCGTGCACTGTGATATCAAGGTCTGCACGAATCTGGTCCGTCCAACGGGTCGGGTTCCTGCCTTGCACCAGGTTATGCGAAATTTAATGATAAATGTTTTATGGCCTTTGTTTGTTCGCAGCCATACGAAAACTGCGATCGCTACCAGGAGAAGGTCAAGGGTGGAACGTCGCTGGAAGAACATCTCGACGCTTATTACAAAACGACCGAATTTGTGGCTGTGAGTATCGATCTCTGTGTGGACTAACTGGCAGAAGTGACTGCACCACCCTTCAAACCGGAACGCGTTACTGTTTTGCGGTAGAAATAGGCGGGCCGGCTGTCCCTACCCGTGCCGGTTCATAAGATGTCCTACTACCAGTAAAACTAGTGATGGTCCAAGACGATTGAACACTAGTATAGTAAGATTCAATGCAATAATCACATGACAAACTTCGACGCGATCTTAGGGTACGCACACTCATACGTAGCTCGTGCTTGTGCACGACACTCTGTGCTGCCACGTGTCTTCCTTTAAGCGAAGTATAAGTAGAACAGTTTGTGGACCGTAGCGCTGGGATGATAATTGATGATGATAATTGGATCACTTGACCAAAGATTCCAGTGGACATCACAACGTAAATGCCGCCCCCTATCGGGACACGCGGCAGGGGTCAATCACAGCTATAACAGGCGTACCAAAGAACAACGCATATGGGTAAAGCCTCAAAGGTCTGCATAGCATTTGTCCCACGGCATCACGTCTCGTTTAAGACAGCGGCTTGGCTCTGCCGCTGGTAGTGCTGACGTCCATGAGCGACGATAACCACTTACCGTCAGGTGGGCTGTATGCACGTCTGCCTACAATAGCAATAAGAAAAGGTAACAATGCGCTTAGCCGTCTCACCCTAATAATTACGAATGAATTATTAAAATCATGCGAGTATTGTTTTTATCACACGATGGTCCTTCATCGCGGAAGCCATTCTTGATAATGAATTAAATACGTATTCACAGTACGAGAAGTCCGGGCGTCTTATCCATCAGGCCGCGGGCACTTCAGAGTACCCACGCTTTCCGTTATCGCTGTTCTTAACTGATCGAATAAGAAATTGAAATTCTCGATATAAAAACGAGATAAGCGCTAACATTAAATCCCGTAATACAGTAATAAACAGTAAATTTGTATTAAAGTAATATAATTTTATTACGTTTATATTGTTTTTAGCGTGCTGATTCATTTTCGGATAACAAGATAGCACTGGGTAAAGTTGCCTGTTCTCTCTCTCGAGGGGTTATACTAAATTTTCCGAGCGAGTAGGTGAGGTCCCGAAGATTCTGGACGAACCTGAGGACGTTGCTAACACTAGCCCTAGTAAGAGCAGTGCTTCGCAGAATCTACCACCGGATTGGAAGCGCGACCCACTGAGAAGATCCAGCGACAAACTCAGTGGGCTGTGGGTTAATTTACTCGTCGAGCGAGCAAGTGGTGGGTTCGACGAGAACGGTTTAGGGCAACGTCAAATGTTTACCACTATTCCTGCCGCGAAGCTGTAAACTTTGGAGACTTTGACGTCACTACTCATGGTAGCGGTATTAATTTTGATTTATACAGACATCTTCATATCGGGTGGAGCTTGAGCTCGTATGCTCTCTTTCTATTCTGGACTTGTCCGTTGAGGAATGATTACGTTGTTGAATTTGGTGTTTCTTATCGACCGCCGAGGGGCTTGCGTGGTGGGGAGAGGTGCGCCGCGTGCCATACGTGTGAACCTCCCGCCTGCCCCGATTGGCCCCGGGACTAGACAGGGCGGCTTTAGTCCGGCGCATTGCTCCAGACTCGCAAGACAATAATTTTAGATTATCAAGAAAGAACTTTCTTATTCAAGGTTCAAAATGCGGTGCAAAGGAGACTTGGCATCCCGAGCCGGCTGTCACCGGACGACATCTACTCGTTTTACGAGATCTGCCNTACGTGTGAACCTCCCGCCTGCCCCGATTGGCCCCGGGACTAGACAGGGCGGCTTTAGTCCGGCGCATTGCTCCAGACTCGCAAGACAATAATTTTAGATTATCAAGAAAGAACTTTCTTATTCAAGGTTCAAAATGCGGTGCAAAGGAGACTTGGCATCCCGAGCCGGCTGTCACCGGACGACATCTACTCGTTTTACGAGATCTGCCGCTTCTACCGGTCCTGGACTCAGAATCTGAAGTCTCCCTGGTGTGCTGTATTCTCTGATGAAGACCTAGCAGTTCTGGAGTACAGGGACGACGTAAGGCACTACCATAGGAACGGATATGGATCCTGGGTGAGTATCTCCTCCTCCTTGGTCAGAATTGTAGTGGCTAGTGCCCTTTATGAGATAACGTTAAATTATTTTACGGTTGACGGCTTTGGTCTTCCACTAACAGATTTCTATGAAGTGGGATTGCTCGCTTATCGCTAACGGAAAGTGTTCTTCTAGGTTAATGTGAACCTAGGTCATCTTCCAATGAAGAATCTGTATGAGAGCTTTGAAGCAGTAGTCGAAGGTCGAGGGAAGAAGATAACCTCATATTTCAGCCACGACACCATGATGGAGATGGTGTGGTGTGCTCTGGGCATCTACAAAGACGACTTCGAACTGCAAGGGGGCCGCCGAGAACTGAACCGTCTCTGGAGAACTAGTTACATCGGAGCCTTCTCTGTTAACCTCATTGCTGTTTTAAATAAGTAAGTCATAAACTATGTTAATGACAAACTCGGACTCGGTTTGGGCACATTTGGAAGATTTTAGACTAAAGCATCTCTTTATTCTGAGAAAGTGTAAATATTTTTTTTTGTTTTTGCTTAGATGGGTGGAAGAGCTCACAGCCCACCTGGTGTTAAGTGGTTACTGGAGCCCATAGACATCTAAAACGTAAATGCACCACCCACCTTGACATATAAGTTCTAAGGTCTCAAGTATAGTTAGCAAACCGAAACGCATTACTGCTTCATGGCAGAAATAGGCAGGGGGTGGTACCTACCCGTGTGGACTCACAAGAGGTCCTACCACCAGCAATTTACCATTAACTCAGTCATTCACCAGTATTTCAGTCTTTTTGAATTATGAATTAAACGTAAGTGAAATCTCCCGGCATTTCTAGTAATTAGGTATTATTTTTCCCGTTCTATTTGCTGGTAGCCTAAGGGGCTATTACAGGTACACTATGGTTGGTAAGTGAGATCACGGAGCTCAATCCTGACGTTGTTGCAAACCCTAGCAAGAGCAGTGCTTCGGAAACGCGACCCACTGAGAAGATCCGGCGAGAAACTCAGTGGGCTGTGTCTGTGGGTTTCTAGTATATTAATACGGCTGTGTACACACGTGAGCGCCGTATCGTATCGTTATCGAAAAATTGTAAAGTCGTCAGTCATCATTTCGTTGATCACATCATAAATCCGATAAAAATGAGAACGAGATAAAAAATCGCGTGTGTGCGTGTGTGCGTGTGTGCGTGTGCGTGTGTGTGCGTGTGTGTGCGTGCGTGTGCGTGTGCGTGTGCGTGTGCGTGTGCGTGTGCGTGTGCGTGTGCGTGTGCGTGTGCGTGTGCGTGTGTGTGTGTGTGTGTGTGTGTGTGTGTGTGTGTGTGTGTGTGTGTGTGTGTGTGTGTGTGTGTGTGTGTGTGTGTGTGTGTGTGTGTGTGTGTGTGTGGGATCAGCGATGACTTGATGTTGGATCTATTTTGAGTGGAAGTGACTAAGAAGGTCACCGGGCCACCTGTGCAGGCGGATGAATACAGACAGAACAGCTGCCTCTCCCTCGTGCCCCGCTCCACACCTGTCTTAATTACTGAACTGTCTTAATTACTTTTTAAATAACCAAAATAAATTTCCAGGTGCACTGTATCCGGTACTCAGTCCTACCGGGTCCAGCTCTTCGTAAACGAGAAGGCAACCGAGCTCTGTCCTCTAGAGGGCTGCACTTGGCAACAGTTCCAGCAGAAATTCCAGCCCTTCGCATCAGCCAACCTGGAGTTCTGCAGCCTGGACTACCGGGTCCCCGAGACGAACGCCGCGCCCGGTGGGTGGAACTCCTTCTCCTGGGCGCTGCTTCTACAAACAGTATTATTACTAATTTGGAAATTTATTTATTAATTTATTCAGATAACACACACGCGGTCCAGCGTTCCCATCGTCATAATAATGTAATATAAAAATGTATTTGAAAAAGTCGCATAATAAATTAGATCATACGTGTTACGTATTTATATGATATGTAGTTTTATTACACGCGAGTCGCGATCGGATATATCCAAGTCCCAAGTACACAGCTATCGTGTTCCAAAATATCCGTCCTTAACTGTTCTGTAATATTATTCGCTGTGCCGTTATATGCATAGATAATAGTTTAAAAAAATGAAATTAAACTTTAAGTTGCGATGCCGTTTTATTTTTTTAGTTTCTATAATTAATTTTAATTAAGTAATTAATTTAGTCATCGTGGTCCAGACGATAAGACGCCCGGCCTGCTCCGTGTCGTGGTACAATCTTACGGGACATAAACTCTTAGGATAATAGTGGTTATTTACTGAGACTTCACTGAAATATTGGAAGAGCCCGGTAAAGCCACGCCCGACGCCCTCGTTTCATTTCCCCACATTAATGCAGTCTCACAGATGCTAAATTGCAGTTGCAGAAGTTAATAAAATGTCGTTATTACACGTTTAAGCCCGAAGAAACCCTAAACGAACAAAATGAATCAATCCACACAACTTGGCTCCTCACGTCTCCGTAAATCAATTATTTGAGATTTTGAATAATATAATCTGACACAATCTGTGACAATGTGAAAATTACCGCGAAAAAGAACCAATGAAAAAAATATATAGTCACGAAAACTGGTATTTGTACATAAAATTAATTATTCGATTCACGGATAAGTAATGTCGGATGTTTGTGCTTCGGGACCTCCTCCGTGTGTGAGTAGGAGCGGCTGCGGGCGGACGCGCACTTCAACAGCTGAGCGTCGGGCTCCACCAAGGGAACTGTGGCGCAAGTTAGGGCACCGACTCTTTTTATCCAACATCTTAGGGTCCGTTCACACAGACCGACTCGGAGAGCATCGGCCCGCCTTTTTTGTTTTCACACAGACCGGCCGTATACCTTTGGAATTGGCCGAAGCGAAGCCGCCAACTATTTCACATAGACCGCCTGGAAGAGATCTTAAAGCGGATGCGCACCCAATTGGAGCCGGTCGGCTACACGAGCGAGAAAGACCGCGCAATCGGAGCCGGCTGGAACCTCTATCTTATTATTTCACACGCAGCGCTTTCAAGCATTCTTAATGACAAAAAAGTGCATATGCGAAAATAAACATTACTACAATTACTCAAAAATCTGTTTCCAACGTGATAAAAATCTGCTCTCTTCTTCGAGCCGGTCTGTGTGAACGGACCTTTACAAGTCTCCTAATTTATAAACACCGTAGCCGATCCACTCAAATCCTAACGAGGGAGTCATGAATTCCCACAAGCAGACCCATCATGCCTGCATCGTGCATTATCTTACATATAGTATCTTACACATACGAATATCCTTAGTCTGGCCATAAATACTGTTACAATTAAAAATAAACGAAATATTACATTTGAATTTAAATTGTCATTTTTATATGATTGCTCATTGAGTTTTCTCATTTTGGCGCCAATACATTGTACAATATTTTGCGATATTAAAATGGAGTGGGGTGATAAAGAGAACCGAATCGCTGTGATTGCTTTACACAAAGTAGGTATGGAGCCAAATGCAATTTTTCAAACTCTCCATACGCTTGGTATTAGTAAAATGTTTGTGTACCGGGCTGTTAATAGGTGCAATGAGACCTCCTCTGTTTGTGACAGAAAAAGATCTGGTCGTCCACGTAGTATTCGTACGAAAAAGGTGGTCAAAGCAGTAAGGGAAAGAATTCGAAGAAATCCTGTCCGAAAACAAAAGATTTTATCTCGGGAGATGAAGATAGCACCAGAACCATGTCGCATATTTTAAAAGATGACTTAGGACTTGCAGCCTATAAGAGACGTACTGGTCATTTCTTAACTGATAATTTAAAAGAAAATAGGGTGGTAAAATCGAAACAGCTATTGAAGCGGTCCGCAAAGGGAGGTCATAGAAAAAAATTGTTTACGGATGAGAATTTTTTTACAATTGAGCACCATTTTAACAAACAAAATGACCGTATTTATGTTCAAAGCTCTAAGGAAGCTTCCCAATTAGTCGACAGAGTGCAACGTGGGCACTATCCGACTTCAGTGATGGTTTGGTGGGGTATTAGCTATGAAGGAGTGACTGAGCCATACTTTTGTGAAAAAGGTATCAAAACATCGGCACAAGTGTATCAAGATACCATTCTTGAGAAGGTAGTGAAGTCCCTTAACAACGCCATGTTCAATAATCAAAATGGTCCTTCCAGCAAGACTCGGCGCCAGGTCATAAAGCTCGGTCTACGCAGACTTGGTTGGAAACGAACGTTTCGGACTTCATCAGAGCTGAAGACTGGCCGTCGTCTAGTCCCGATCTTAATCCGCTGGATTATGATTTATAGTCAGTTTTAGAGAGTACGGCTTGCTCTAAGCGCCATGATAATTTGGAGTCCCTAAAACAATCCGTACGATTGGCAGTGAAAAAATTTCCCATGGAAAGAGTGCGTGCTTCTATTGATAACTGGCCTCAATGCTTAAAGGACTGTATTGCAGCCAATCGAGACCACTTCGAATAATCTTTTTATACTTTAAATTGTTTTATATTTATGTATTAAACTAACACACTGTAAAAGTAATAAATGTTACTTGCAATAGATTTTTTTTAATTTTTAATTGTAACAGTATTTATGGCCAGACTAAGTAGTTGTAATGAAACGATCAATCGAACAAACAGAAAAGACTTGATCATCATCGTCATCACCACACAGACGTCCACTGCCGGACATAAGGTTCGCCTTAATGACCGACCTTCAGCAGATCGTGGATCCACCCGGTGGGAAGTCAACTCACGCTGCGTTTTGTAATGCGCGGTCGCTACTCGACAATTTTTGGCTCCCAGCGGCCATATTTTACTGGTGGTAGGACCTCTTATGAGTCCGCGCGGGTAGGTACCACTACCCCGCCTATTTCTGCCGTGAAGCAGTAACGCGTTTTGGTTTGAAGGGTGGGGCAGCCGTTATAACTATACTGAGACCTCAGAACTCATGTCTCAAGATGGATGGCGGCATTTACGTTGTAGAGGTTTGTTAACCACTTAACACCAAGTTGTGAGCTCGTCCACCCATCTAAGCAATAAATAAAAATAGAACTTTCACCATCATTCGCCTTATGGTCTCTTAAAATAAGGTGTGCTTTTAAATAAAACGGCCAAGGTAAATATTTTATGACAACGATATCGCTTTATTAGATGTCAAATGGAGGGTGCGCGGGGTGCACGTGCGGGTGTGCGGTGCGGGGGTGGGGGGCGTGTCTCGGCGGTGCTCGCGCGCGCACGTGCATCCGACGCACTCGCTCGCACTCTCGATACATACTCCACGGTAATAAATAATATAAATAAATATCAACAACGTTACAAAATAGCCTTTCGTAAAAACATTAGATCCCTAAAGTGTATATATTTTTGTTTGGCTTACAAAAAAAAAGAATTGCATATTTAGTATTTTACAGTTTTTCGCTCATCATCAACAGCTAATGTATAAAAAGTTACGTTTTCAACGAAAAATCTGTACAGTCCGTTTTTATGTTTTGTAGTGGAACGTTTAGAAATCTTCGGGCGCCAGGTCGAACCTAGGTGGGAAGGTGCCGAAGCCGTCAGCAAGGGCGGGGCGCGAGCGCTGGGGCTGAAACACAAACAGGCCACAGGTCAACGCGTAACGAAGCATCACGAAGTAATCAAACTGGTGACGTGCAAGTTACATGCCGGGAACTTCTCAAATGCTTGGCGTAAAGTGAAGGTAAAGAGGTAAAGGTTCTACGGCTACTGAGTCAGCACGGATCTCGGTGCTGCTGGGGGAACGCAACAAAAAGTTGCCGACTTACATAAACTCCAGTGCTGATCTATGGGCGCCCTTTAATGGACGCCTGAATAAAAAAAGCAGATTTTAGTAAGCGAAATTATAATAAAAGCATTAAAAGAACTAGGAAGTGGTACTGACCGCCGGGCTGACTCCTCTCGCTGCAGATCCCGCGCGTCCCTTGCCGCGGAACTTGCTGATGGCCTGCTCGGCGAGGTCTGCCCTCTCTTCGGCCTCCTCGAGCTCCTGTTGCGCCTTGCGGAACTTAGCCAAGTTGAGGGCGGCAATCTCTTCGGCCTCCTCGATCTGCCTCTTGTATGTCTTGATCTTCTGCTGCAGTTTATCGACGAGGTCCTGCATACGTTCGTGGTTCTTGCGGTCTTCTTCTGCCTGGAAGGTGAGCTCCTTGATGCGCCTCTCGGACTTGCGCAAGTTCTTCTGTGCGTCAGCGTGCCTCCTCTGTTCGCCGTCGAGCTCGTTCTCGAGTTCTCTGACTCTCTGTTCGAGTTTCTGGATGGCCTTCTTGCCTCCCTTGAGCGCGTTGGCCTCGGCCTCATCGAGCCTAACTTGGAGTTCCTTGATTTGTTGCTCGAGAGCCTTGCGGAGTTTCTCCTGGGTCTGAGCGTGATCCTGCTCGGCGCGGAGCTCGTCCGCCAGACGAGCGGCGTCGACCATGGCCTTCTTAGCCTTCTCTTCGGAGTTCTTGGCCTCGTTGAGAAGTTCGTCGAGGTCGGAGTGCAGGGTTTGCAGCTCGGACTCGAGTTTCCTCTTGGCGGCAGAGAGGGAAGCGCTCTGTGCGGAGAGCTCGTTGAGTTGCTCGTGGGCGTCACTGAGTTCCTGCTCGGCCTGGCGGCGGGCGCGGTCGGCCTGCTCCAAGAGTGTGCGGGACTCTTCCAGTTCGTTCTGAAGAGCATTGGCGCGACGCTCCGAGATGCCGAGCTGTTCGCGGGCATCGTCACGGGCGCGCTGCTCCTCCTCGAGAGCGGTTTGCAGATCCTTGATTTGTGCCTGGTAGCGTTTGATGTTCTTCTGGGCCTCGGCGTTAGCCTTGTTGGCGTGGTCGAGGGCGATTTCAAGCTCGTTGATGTCTGCCTCGAGCTTCTTCTTCATGCGCAACGCCTCAGCCTTGCCCTTAGCCTCGGCTTCGAGGGAAGCCTGCATGGAGTCGAGGGCACGCTGGTGGTTCTTGCGTGTGTTTTCGAATTCTTCCTCCTTCTCTTGGATGCGTCTGTCGATCTCCTGTCTGACTTGAGACAGCTCGAGCTGAGCGCGGAGGACCTTGTTCTCTTCTTGTTCGAGAGCCGCTTCGGCCTCTTCGAGGGCGGCCTGGAGCTCGTCCTTCTCGGCCTCGAGACGCTTCCTGGCTTTCTCGATTTCGTGGATGTTGCGGCCACCTTCGCCGATCTGGTCCAGGAGGTCCTTGACTTCGTCGGCAAGGTTCTTGTTCTCGCGGCGGACAGCCTCGAGCTGTTCCTGGCCTTCTTCGTAGGCACCCTTGAGGCGGAACAATTCGGTGGAGTAGTTGCGGCATTCCTTCTGGCTGGCATCGAGTTCGGCAGCAAGGTCGTCGACCTTGAGTTTCCATTCTCCGATGATTTTGTCGAAGGCCTTCTGTTTCTTTTCTGCAGCGTTGGCAATAGCAGTGGCACGGTCGACCTCCAGCTGCAGGTCCTCGACCTCGGTGGCGAGACGCTGCTTGGTCTTCTCGAGAGCGACAACCTTCTGGTTGAGGGATTCGATTGTCTCCTCGGCTTCGGCGAGACGAGCCTGGAGCTTGCGCTTGGCCTCTTCGAGTTCCTCGGAGCGAGCGACGCCCTCGGACTCGTACTTGGAGCGCCACAGTTGAGCCTCAGCGTTGGCCTTGGACAGTTGGCGTTGAAGATCAGCCTTGCCCTCGGCTTCCTCCTCGACCTGTTCGCGGATGTTGTCCAAGTCGTGTTCCAAGTTGCGGAACTTGCCAAGAAGGGTAGCACGTTCCTACGATAATAAAAAATAACATTAGACTAATTTAATATCATTTTCGGAATGTTTTTATTTTTATTCACTGAAATATTGCTTTAGACCGTACAAAGAATTAGACACATACCCTGGCTTCCTCGTCGGCGAGCCTCTTGGTGTCTTCGAGCTGTGTGGTGAGCGACACCTTGATCTTGGAGAGCTGAGACACCTGGGACTCGGCCTCCTCCAGTTGGCGGAGAAGGTCGGAGTTCTCGATGGACAGCTTCTTCTTAGCGGCATCCAGGTCGTTGAGGGTGCGGTTGGCTTCGTCAGCCTTGCTCTGGACTTCGTTGAGCTGGTGCTGCAGTTGCTTGACGATCTTTTCTTGTGCAGCCTAAACACAAGCGGTTTCTTTGTTAATAAATCAATTTTGATGTTTTATCAAGAATATCCAAGTTATTGCTCTGAAATTGAAATCTGTTTGACTCTGGTGTAATGTTGGGTTAGAAAAAACTAAATTAAGTTTTTTAAGTCTGACTGACACACATAGGCTATTTATGCATTCACTACGATAAAGTTAGAGAAAAAATCACTTTTTATGTTGATGATCAATTATTATATTTGTTATTGGTATTATTTTCGTCACTTTTTTTCGTCAAAGCGTTGTTAGCTCATGCTTTTGTTACATCGTTATATCTGGATAAGGTTGTTAATACTGTGAGGGAATGTGTTTGTTTGAATGTTCAAGTTAAGTATGTCTCTGAATTGTTTCTTCCAACATTGGATAAGCAGCGAAGCGTGGCATCTTTCTTTATCTTTTTGTACCTTTTCGTTGGACAAGTGGTCGAGACCGGCACGGAGGTCATTGACTTCGCTAAAGTATTGAGCACGCTCTTTCTCAGCCCTGAATGGATAGAACATTACACATAACTTTAGCATCGCGTTAGAAACCTTCTGGTTTATCCCTAGGGTCGTATTGTATGTCGTGTGAGATCGGTGTGTCTGTGGATCTACAAGATCGGGCATGCAAGGGTGTCCCACGCGGTAGACATGCCTCTACGGTTGACATGTTACCTTCTCCCTCGCTACTTGATCGACAGCAGCGCGCGTGTTGTTTAGCTCGTTGTAGCAAGCGGCACGGTCGTGCTCAGCCCTGAATTTTCATAGACCAAATTCAATCTCCATATTTATATAAGACACCAATAATCGTCGTCACTGTTAAATTGATAGGCCGTAAAGATGTGCCGAAAACACAGTAAGATCAGCAAAAAGTAAATAGTATACTCACTTAGCCTTGAGCTTGTTGAGCTGGTCGAGCTGCTCACCCATCTCGGAGACGGCATCGTTGTGCTTCTTGCGGAGGTTGGCGAGGGTGGCTTCGTGCTGGATGTTGGCCTCCTCGAGGTCACGGCGCAGCTTGCTGAGCTCGGCCTCGCGCTTCTTGTTGAGCTCGATCTGAGCAGAGGTGGCGCCACCGGCTTCCTCGAGCCTTTCGCCGAGCTCTTCAAGTTCACGAGCGAGGTCAGCGCGTTGTTTCTCAGCCTTAGCGCGAGCCTGGCGCTCGCTCTCGACTTCCTCTTCGAGCTCCTCGATGCGGCCTTGGAGCTCCTTGATCTGTTTCTGGAGCTTGCTGACCAGGGACTGTTCGTCTTCGAGTTTGGCGGTGAGAGATGAGATTTCCTTGTCCTTGCGTTGGATGGTCTGTTCGAGTTCCTTCTTGTTGCGCTCGAGGTCGGCGACAGCTTCCTGGGTGAGCTTGAGGTCTCCCTCAACCTTCCTCCTCTGCTTTTCGACGTCAGCACGCAGTTTCTTTTCGCGCTCCAGAGAGTCTTCGAGCTCGTCAAGGGTCTGCTCCAACTTTTGCTTGACCTTGTTAAGGTGGTTGACCTTGTCTTCGGCAGCCTGGAGTTCTTCTGAGGTCTTCTGGTTGGTCTCACCTTGGAGTTTCTTCTCCTTGTTCAACTTGTTGATGAGCTCATCCTGGTGAGCGATCTCATCATTCAAGTTGCGGATCTGGTGGTCCTTGGTAGCCTTGTCCTGTTCGGACTTCTGTACGGACAGTTCCAAGTCCTCGACATCCTTCTTGAGGCCAGAGACTTCCTGTTCGAGCTTCTTCTTAGCTTGGAAGAGCTGGTTGCGGGCATCCTCTTCCTGGGTGAGGCGGTCTTGGGTGTCCTGATACAAAAACGGTTTTATTAGTTAACCGCAATAGAATTTTTACAACAATCATTTATTGGATGCATCTGGCTTTAGTCACTCAATGAAATGGTCCATTAAATGTTCGCAATAAATATTCGTGATATCACCCCGCGAGCGCGCAGGATATTTTAGATTCGATCGAACGTTTGTTCGTGTAAACAAGACCGATGTTTATTTAAATAACCACGTAAAGTAAACACGAAGCACGTAAAGTGATTCGCAACACTGCAAGCACACGTCTAATTCGGTCCGGCGAATCTTTCGCGGAACGAGATTTCACCAAAACTCATTATTTTAATTAGCTCGAAACTCACAATCACAACCTAAATCACGGTGACTATTTTCGTAGTGATGTCCGGACGCTTGCTTTACACTAATTAAACAAATCAACACTTCGGCGAATAAAATTTTGAAGCACATGTGGGATGTGAGGGAATTTTAACTTTGTACATCGTACTCACCCTGAGTTGGTTCTCGAGATCAGCCTTCTGGGCCTGGAGCTTGTTAGCGCGCTCCTGGGTCTCGGCAAGGCTGCCCTGGTTTCCTTCGAGGTTGGCGAGCAGGGCGGTCTTCTCCTCAAGCAGCTTGGCGTTGAGGGCCTCGACCTCCTTGCGGAGCTTCTCCTCCTTCTCGAAAGCCTCCTGAGCCTTCTGTGCCTTCTCCTCGAGTTTCTGTAATATTTCGTCACCCTTGAACACACCGTTCCCGTTCCACTCGGTTATGTGAACCGCGTCCGCCATTGTTTATTATTTAATTATAACATAAATATAAAATAAAAGGAATGCAAAACGTGTCGGTTCGTTCGTGTGGGTCGTGTGGCGGGTGGTGCGCGCTCGCCGTCCGCTCCGGTACTGGAACTGGCGGGCGGCTGGAGCGCCCGCGCTGGAGGGCGCCGCCCACGCACTCCAGCACCGCGACTCCACAAATGGCCGCAGGTGGTGCGGTGTCACGTAACCGACAGGTGGGCGCGGCCGCTTCTATTTGCGTTACCCTGATTCACTCGCTCTAATTCCGCTACGACGGGTCAGAGTGCCCGATTAGCTTAACGATGCCGACGATAGACACTCACCGCGATCTCGTCCTCGATGCGGGTGACGTTGAGGAGAGGCTTGACCTTCTGCCACAGTTTCCACCAGGGCCAGGTGCGGAGTTGCAGGTACTTGCGCAAGTTGCGCTGGACAACTTGGAGAGCCAATCTGAAACATATTCAATGCTGTAACCCGGAAATACATATCGCAGATACAGAATGATGAACATGATAAGTGTCAGTTTACCTCTGCTCCTGCAGCTTCTTGTACTCCTTACGGGACAAGTAACCGCGGATGTAAGCCTGGAGCCATGATACGATCTTGGAGAGCCTGTCATCACGCAGCTCTTCCATCTGACCCAGGACACCAGCGCGGAAGAATACCTGTTCATATCTAAAGCGTCAGAAATGGCTCTAGAAACACTCTTTCACATGTTAGAATTGCATTGGAAATGTTGTTATTTTGACAAATAGTTCAAAAAGAATGTCTTTGGAACAAAAACAGTTTGAAATAAAGCTGTTGAATACAACACACAAGTATAATAAAATATAATACAGTAAGATTGTAATTCTTAAATTAAATTTAAACATAAAGACCACAAAAAAATAGACGTTGTTACTTAGGACGTTAAAGTACCATGCAGAAGAGAGAAGTGTTTCGTGTGTTTGTTTGCATGCTGTGACTACCTTTGTCTTTCCGAGCCTGAAAGATTCCGAATCCAGACCAGTTTGTTCGAGAATTTTCTCGGTGGCTTTCTCCGGTGTGATAGGTTCTTTGATGAGGTTCGGGCACAGAATTTTGTATCTGCGTTATGGGACACAACAATAAAATAGAGGTGTGTGTGTTCATGTATCTAAAAGTTGTCATAGGAAAGGGAAACAAACAGAGCCTGAGTAGTTAGGGCTCTAGGGATAAAAGCGGGGGTCAAATTATAGCACCAGTCTCATAAGATGCTAACATAATTCGACAAAGCGCAAGCCCAACGGTCCTATGGTCTTAGACCGCTCTAGATCAAACATCTAACTACGGTACTGGTTCCGTGACATGCCTTGGTGTGACCGAGACGGTAGGACTCGACATCCAAGCCCGTGGCCTCCAAGATGACTTGAGCAATTTTCTTGGGATCAGATTCCTTGTCCACAGCTTGAGGGGCCAGGATCTTGTAGCTACATTTCCAAATAACACGTTCACACATTGAGGGATTTTGTATTGTAATCATACTCTACTAAAAAGGAACTACTAGTGATGATGGCTCAGGAATTCACAAGGTATTCTCCCAGGTTCGATATGTTTCAAAAACGCGTGTCATGATTTTGGATACACGTATCAAAAACTAAATATTAGAACAAAAAAAAAATAAAGGACCTGTTTATTAACGTGACACATAGGTATTTCTAAACAGGTGTTTTAAACTAAAGGTGCAAAAATCTATGTATTGACTACAAAAACGGTGTGGGTACACAAACTACATGAGTCGTGAATTTCTAGATCTCTATGTTGAGTCTGTCCACTTTCGACTAGGTCATGCGGTCACCACGCTAGGATGGTATCGATGTTTCCTTGCCTTTGTATGACCAATACGATAGCTTTCGGGGTCGAGCCCGACTTCCTCCAGACACTTCCTAGCTGCCTCTTTGGGATCTTTTTCGGCTGTCATGACGACGGGTGCAAGAATCATGTAGCTGTTTATTAAATATTAGTTTTATAAATGATTAAAATAGACAGAGCGTATCAGACGTTGTGCATCAGGACGATTCCCGATTGAGAGGCGAGAGTCATCGAAACTATTTGCGAATTCGCTGCTAGAATCTCCAAAATGACGTCAGCATTAGTCAGTGGTCGGCCATACAGAAATAAAATCTCCAGCGGCCTAGGAATGTTGTTTAGACTTCAGCGAGTCGAAAGTATGAATCCTCAGAATATATTTAAACCGTGTTGACGTGTGAAATAACTTTTATTTGATGACTCAAGATCGTGATTTTCGTAAATGTTATTCTAATGTCTACTTCGTGATACTATAAATAGATTGTTTCATACAAGCGATTCTTACCGGAGCTTGAAGTCAGGGTATACCATTCTGTTGGGGAAACCTTTACGGCAAATACGGATGCCTTCAAGCACACCGTTACAGGTGAGCTGATGCATCACAAGGTGAGAGTCGATGAGACCTATATAACACGGAAATCGATGTCAAAGATTATGTTTCGTTGAGGTCGTGTATATTTGGAAAATGAATACCCAATTTTAGTGGCTTTTTTAAATCGATCGACAAATTAAAAATTCTTTTCCATCAAATTTTAATAGATTCAAATTGTTTTTTGTGTAACTTTAAAACGAAAACTCACCAGCCTGTTTCAATTCATTGGGAATGATACAACGCACGAAGTGAGGTTGGGTGGATCTCAGCGTCGTCATCAAGTTGTTAAGTTGTTCCTGTATATGTTGGTAACATTAATATCATTTCATATTTATCGTAATTTGAAACGTATAAAGCAAAACCACATGAAATGCATGTAAAGAAAACTTGGTCGTAATTAAGTTTTCTATAAAAACAAATATAAGCCACACAACATATATTATAAAAACAAGTGAAGTATAAATTTTTGGTGAAACAAACATAAAAATAAAAAACCAAAAGGTTAGAACGAAAAAAGCAAAAGAAAACTCAGTTGAAAACTTAGCAAGGTTTCGTATTCTGCTGATGTTAATAAATGTAATGGTTCCTCTTACATTTCTTCGTTAAATTACAATAAAATGCATCTAAAATGAATGAAAGTGCAATTCAAAATTGACGTATCTTCATGGGTGACATGATTTCAAAATTACCTCCAAGTTTCATGGATAATTTCGAACTACTAAAAACACTTGATGTAGGCTACATTTAGGTAGTTAACTACATCATTACGATAATAATAAATAAAAAAAAAACAATAAAATCTATTAGTTGAACTATTAAATACCCTGTAAGCGGAGGAAACGGTAGCGAAACCACCACCCTTCTTTCCACGACCGCCTATGAATATACATTAAAACAAGCAAATTAGTTTTGGACGATCACAGGTATATGAAGACAGTAGGATAAGTTGACGAAATAACCGCGACGACATGAGCTGCAAATGTACATTAACGAAACATGATTATTAATTTGAAAGCGTGCAAGATCATCCCTATGCAAGACGCAACCTCTCATTCTATAGGCGACGGTCTAAAGCGTGTTGACAGAAAAGGACAGCACGAAGGAGCCACAGAAGCAAATCTCGGACAATTTTGTATGCGAGTTTACCCTGTAGAGTGATGATACAGTCTGGAAGGCAGAACCCTTAGCGCGTTTGCCACCAGCGCCTATTTCATTTTAAAACAGTGTCAGTATGTGATTTTTTTGTATTTTACTATAATGAACGATGAATGCTATTCTATTAAAGCGAACGGAAGTTGCTCGGTGAAGTAGTTTCCAATACAAGCTTCGTTGATAAAATGATATTTGCTGTTATCTAAGGATATTTTATATGTATTATGTGCGTGAAACAGTTTTACGTGTAAAGTGTAACACTCAATGAAACGATGTATATTGCGTGTATGATTTTAATGTGATTTAATTGGGGTTGTCGTCCCTGTGCCGCGTCCTCCGTACTCATATGCAGCGCAGTTTGGCGTTCAGTCAGTTCTTCTCAAATTTATTACAGCAAGAAAAAAATTAAAGTGATTGAAATTTAAAGCAAAGAAATTTACATTCACTTTCGCTTAAACTATCGAATGCAGAAGAATTACCCATCCGTCCGTAATTGATGACTATCTAAGATCGGTAATGGCGTAACCACAGAAGCCGTGGCTACAGACTCTTTTTAAGCTCCTCTAAAGAAATACTTTTATCATTATCATCGGGATACTTTAGAATATTATCATTAAATAAGTAATAAGTGTTTTATTATGTGAAACGTACCCTTGCCACCGCCACCGCCAGCAGCATCACCAGACTGGCCAGGATGATCAGCGAAGATCTCGACCAGAAGTTTGTTCTGGCCCTTCTTGAACTGGTCAACGACGGTGTCGTTAAGCGGGTCCTTGTTCTTCTCGAGCCAACCGGTGATGTTGTAGCCGACCTGTGGCGCAAGGAAAGTTGAAATTACAACATTTTCTTTAACAGGCGCTTAAATTTTTTGTGGCTGTGTAGCGTTCTTGTGTGAACTTTAAGAACCAGTGACGATGGACTTTTGTTTTTTACAATGGTTCATTCGTACAAAAGAGTTCTGAATGGATGTGGTTTGTTAAATTTCGTTTGGGCATGCTAGAGCATTGGACTACTTCATCTTCGATTTGAGGTTTATAAATTGAACAGATACTTACGTTACCGGCGTAGTGACCAATGGCGAAGTGAGCAGCTTGGCAACCTGGCTTGGGGGGTTTGGGCTTCAAGTAAGGAGCAGATTTGCCCAAGTGGTTGTTGTTCAGCTTCTCAACGAAGGTCTGATCAGTGGCTTTCGGGAACATAGACTCTTCCTCAAGAATGGAGAGGATACCCATAGGCTGAAAGCGTATGGTTAGGGTTAGACCGCGAAATCGAATTATTTTTATAAATAATATATATTTTAAATATTTTCATTACAAATTTTCTTTTTACTTTACCGTACAGCATACTCAAAGTAATTAAATCGGTTAGAAAATAAATAGCGAATTGTATATTTTATTTTATTTCAATGGCACTCTAAAAAAGCTTTTACACGAAAATAATCGGCAAGTTCTTATTAAGCTTCATGCAAATTGAAAAGTGTATTTTGTAGCTGTTCGTATACTTTGATACTGGTAACAAGCTTAATAGCACCAGTAAAAACAGTAGAAAGCTGTTTTACATTGCTTCATATAAATATGTCAAAATTTTACCGAAGCATTTACATTTGCTGTGCGGATCTATCAGCTTTGTGTGTTTTAATAAAATTTACAAATACTGTTTGAAACAATTCTAAAATGATTGATATTGTCAGCAATTGAGTTGATATAAGTTCAGCGTGCTTTATAAGCATTTGACTTTACCTGATCTACGGCGGTGTCAATAAAACTATAGATAAATTGGCTGAAGTTAATCTGGCTACGACTTAATGCCTGAAGCTAGAGAGAGAACCTCTAATACCTTTTCTATTAAATCTATTGTCGGTTGTAGGTCCAGACCGAAATCCATGAAAGTCCAAAGAATACCTTCATGCTCGTAATTCTCTTGTTCAAGTACAAACATGTAATGATTAAAATATTGCTGCAGTTTCTCATTCGCAAAGTTAACACAGAGCTGATTGAACCCGTTCATCTGGTCCACAACGCAACATGGAAAAGATATTCATCATACTTAAATCAGTTCGTAATTCTTAAATCAATCTTGATTTATATTTTACCGTCGTACCGTGTAACGAAGATGTATACATATAAAAAAAATAGAAAGGACACACGATAGGAAAAACACACACACACACAAGGAAACCACAATAAGCGTTCAGCATTGATTGAGTACTCGAATACAGACGTCCAACATCCTGTTAATAAAAAATATAATGCTAAGAACGTCAATTTGTAAACTTTGCTGTCTGTATTCGAAAACTGCAATGGCGTGATGCAAGCGTCCTTGGTTGCGTTTACGCCATCTACCTTTTCAATAAGGTCAATGCAGTTTTGGAGGTCCATGCCAAAATCAATGAAAGTCCATTCGATGCCTTCGCGCTGGTACTCTTCTTGCTCGAGCACGAACATGTGATGGTTAAAGAACTGCTGCAGTTTCTCGTTTGTGAAGTTAATGCAGAGTTGCTCAAAACCGTTGAACTGCAGGGGATATTAACGGGGGGTATTAAGTTAGGAGGTTGGTCTGGAGGCGGATTTCGTTCCGTCCTTGTAACCTGGATGTGGTAGGGATTCCAGCCAGTCTCGGCGGCTGTGAGTAACGACACTAAAACGTTATCCCGCCTGGGACGCTCCCAGCGCCAGACGGGGGCGGACCGCTCGCGACTCTGCTATTACCTTCTCGATAAGTTCGATACAAGCGAGCAAGTCCATTCCGAAATCGATAAAGGTCCATTCGATCCCCTCTCTCTTGTATTCTTCTTGTTCAAGTACGAACATGTGGTGGTTAAAGAACTGTTGCAGTTTCTCATTGGTGAAGTTAATGCAGAGTTGCTCGAAACCGTTGAACTTTTATGAACAACAGGAACATTTCTTAGTTAAGGAGGAATCTATACTACTTCTACTTTCATTAGTCATGGGGGCACATTACTCAAAACCTAAGGGTAGGGTTCTAGATGTCTCCAACCGAGCAGAAGGGTCACTCGGTGTACCTTTTCGATAAGATCAATGCAGGCCAATAAGTCCATTCCAAAGTCAATGAACGCCCATTGAATGCCCTCTTTGGTGTACTCTTCTTGCTCCAACACGAACATGTGATGGTTGAAGAATTGTTGGAGTTTTTCATTTGTAAAGTTAATGCAAAGTTGCTCAAACCCATTGTACTAAGAAATCAAAATTAGCATTAATATCAACGAAATGATATTTCATTTGGTGGACGATTGCTTAATTCAATACAATTCGAATTTGAATGTAAAGTCCCCAAGGTAATTATTTAACTAGACGTTTCCGGTTTGATAGGTCTTTACAAATTATATGGTTCACGTAGGTGATCTAAAAAAAAAAGGTTATGTCTAAATTTGATACCCATCCCAGTCCTTTCACCCATCCAGATACTCACGTCGAAAATTTCGAAACCAGCAATATCCAGTACACCGATGAAGTGCTGCCTCTTTTGTTTGGTGTCTAGGGTCTCGTTACATTTCTTGACGAGCCACTTGAAGAGACGATCGAAGATACCCTTGCAGAGGGCACCGACGGAGTTGATGACCTGGTCCTTGTTACGACCCTGGGTCACGAACTCGTTTCCGACCTTGATGCGGGGCTTCAACAAGTTCTTGTACAGGTCAGCGCAGTCGACGCCGAGGAGCTTGGCAACTTTGTCACCGTCCTGTCAAATAATGTGAAAGCTTATATAGGTGACATTGTATACGGCATAGAGAAATCGTATAGATTAATTTTTCCCTTGTGTGACCGATAAACCAGTCTTTTCTTTTTCCTCGTTTACTGCTTTCTTATTATTTCTGCATTTATATTGAATTCCATAACAATTTAGTTTTTTTTTTGTTTTTATTGCCGTATAGACAGACGAGCATACGGCCCACCTGATAGTAAATGGTTACCGTCGCTCACAGACGTCAGCAATGCCAGGGGCAGAGCCAAGCCGCTGTCTGCCGTTTAATACTCTCCACATGCATCGTTCGAAGGACTTCTTTAGTGTAGAAAAGAATTTTTTTTTGCTTAGATGGGAAGACGAGCTCCCAGCCCACCTGGTGTTAAGTGGTTACTGGAGCCCATAGACATCTACAACGAAAATGCGCCACCCACCTAGAGATATAAGTTCTAATGTCTCAGTATAGTTACAACGGCTGCCTCACCCTTCAAACCGAAACGCATTTCCGCTTGTTGTACATTGTTTGATTCTAGAAGATGTTCAAGTCTTATACGAACCTCGGTACCATCAGCCTCGGCCTGCTCCTCGCGACCCCTCTGCTTGAACTTCATGCAGCCCATATGCATGACGGCAGCAGTGATCTTGTATACATTGTCTTTCTCCTCTTGGGTGAAACCAAGGATGTCGAAGGCTTGCTATAACGTGTATAACACATATTAATACGACATTCTTTATTAAAATAAATGTCATGAAATGGATATTTTAGAAACATTTAAAGCAAAAAGTTGTATAAGAAATAATAGTCATATAGAAATGATAACAAGATGAAGAAGAGGTGCATTTAAGACTCAAAATTATGATTAAATTGCTGCTTGATTAAATTGCTGCTTGATTATATTGCTTAATTAATGAATAAAAGTAGTTAGCAAAACTTATATGTAAAAAGAAGGCAGTGCTCGTTAGTGAGATGAGAGTGTTAATAGGTCACAAAGTGGCTGATTTTAGAAGATGGCTGTAGATATTTTTCAGAAAGTGTCAGAATCGTGTCAAAAGAACTAAATCTCGATATGTGTCCCATAGAGATTATTGTCTATTTTACTCTTTAAAAGCGTTTTTTTTCCTATAATATACCGGCAAGTTTCATAATGCGGCATTTCTTGTTTAATTAGATGAAATGGCCCGAATGACAAGATCTTTTCGTATAGACCGGTCATTGTTTGATTCAACTTACGTCAGTCAAAATACATTCCTCGCCGTCATCCACGTTCGGGATCGTAACCTTACCCTGAGATACGATATAGTAATCGTGTACGTCGTTGGATAACAAACATTTTTCTGTCAATGAAACGAGATAGAAAGTCAAATTTTTTGAAGTCAAACATCCTGATACCTAACCTTGGCTGTGTCAGTGTGTGTGACATATTAGTTTAATATCGGCAGTGCTTGTGCTGAAACAGGTTTCGCTACTCCCGTGTGAGAAAACATGTGCGGAAAGCCCGTCGAAACTCTGCAAGGAGCGGGCAATTCATATGTTTGTCAGAAATTTTGCTTCAACGGACCGGATATTAAGCCGCACGCTCCATGCGCGGGTTTTAGACTTACGACAGTCACGTCAAACTGTGCGGCATCGTTGACTCCCGGTATTCGAGTTTTCCCTTGACTTACGATAGGATAGTCCGAGATGCGGTTGCCTAGCATCGTCACCTCTGTAAACAGCAGAATATCTGACATACACATGCACAGACCGTCACTCGCGTCGCCCGTTAACGAAGCAAGCATTAAAGCGATAGTACGAAGTAGATAGAGCATGAGACGAGCCAGCAGTCTGATTCTGGACTCACGTCGGTAATTCTCATTTCCTCGCCGTCATCGACGCCGGGAATGACCGTCTTTCCTTGGGACACGATGTTGTAGTCCATGACGTCGTTGGACAAAAGGCAGATGGCTATAAAAGGGCACCAATCATAGTCACATATGATAATTGGTGTCTAATACAATAATTCTACGGGAAAAAATACATGCTAAGATTTCTGGAGATTGGTCATAAGGTCAGAAACTATACTATTGGGGTATTGGTTGCCGATATAGAGGCAATATGCATAGTCCGGCCGCAGACCTGTACTAAGGCGCGACGGACTGGAGGTGGCAAACAGAAGCTTGAACAGCCTCGTGTACACGTGAGGCTGAACTTACGTCAGTGAGAACACATTCTTCGCCATCGTCTACATTGGGGATGGTAATTTTTCCTTGCGATACGATGTAATAGTCATATATGTCGTTTGACAGCATACACATTTCTAAATCAATTCAAATCAATGTTAATAAAATATTGTATTCGATTTTTTGTACTCAAAGTTGGTTAGGTATCATGTATGAATGCGTTGCGTGTTCGTGTACTGTGGAGTATAATAAGTACGAATAATTTGATATACTTCAAAATATAAAATTCGGCAATTGCTTATTATTATAAAATTTAGTCATCTTATGACAATTCAAAAAGATGTTGATAGTTGAAATAATTTAATTACGACTCAAACCGAGGCTAATTTAATGCCAAAATAGTGAAATCTACTACGTCCTCAAAAAAGTTCCAGCTCTGGAAAAAAATGGCGATATAACTTACTGGAGTTTTCTTTTGATATTCAATTTTATTACCATATAAGTTATATGTTTATAGTAAAAAATTTAAGATAACGAATTCTAAAAGATCAATTAATCATCTTATTAATTTCGATACGTACCTTTAAGACCGTTGACGGAGCCGGACATCATCTGGTAGAAGATGTGGTAAGAACGCTCAAGAGCTTGCTGGGAGATGACACGAGCCTTCTCAAGCAGATCTAGAGAAATATAAGTGTTTTCGTGTTAAATATTTTCTTTGAGAGCCCAGAGAATATCCAAAGCACTTGTTTACTTACAGGTTTCGATGTCAGCACCAGCCAGTTTTCCGGATGGACCGAAATGGATACGGATGAATTTACCCTGGAGAACATTGCGAAAGGATTTTGAAAGTTTTCGTATGAAGTCTCTTTAGAATGCTCGTTAAAAAAGTTATAAAATAGAAAAAAAATGTCACAAAGAGCAGATTTAAGTTTAGTGAATTTAAAATCGGCTAGAGCTTTTCATTTGAATTAGCACTGATGGAGTAAATCTTTTGCAGTGCACCGAAAGGATACGATAAAAGATATCTTTAAAGTTCCGATAGTTACTTTATGCTCAGTAAAATACATCGAATACGTCAATAGAAGTAGTAGAAGAATAAGAAGAAGTAGTCGTAGATAGTACTTACGAAACGAGAGGAGTTGTCGTTACGGACGGTCTTAGCGTTACCGAACGCTTCAAGTACAGGATTGGTTTGTACTACTTGATCTTCCAGGGAGCCCTTCTTCTCCTGGCTTGGGTCCTTCTTCTGGGAGGCACCGACAGTGGCGAAGTACGCAATTACCTTCTTCGTGTTCTCAGTCTTACCAGCACCAGACTCACCGCTGTTAGGTAGTTTATTATATTGTATTTAGGTCTCATGAAAAATACATTGAAAATATCTACAATTTCAAATCACAACCTAAAATTTTTACAACATTGCTCTGGTGATTCAAACAACGTGGTTTTAATGCAATCAAATGTCACTCAGGCAATTTTTATGCTATCAATAATCAAATTAACAGGATTTCGAGTTGTCAACTTTTTGTATGAAATCATGCTATTCCAGTTATTTATACGCTTCAAAGGACTTTAATGCAATTTTAACGTAAATTTTCCTGATATTTATATGAAGGATATTAAACAAATCGATACATACGTAATCAACATAGATTGATTCTCGTGGTTGGTCAGCATGTTGACGTAAGCGCCGTCGGAAATGGCGAAGATGTGAGGTGGCACTTCCGAACGACGCTTGCCACGGTACAGCTTGGCGCATCGTGTCGTGTACACGGGGAATCTCTTGTAAGGGTTGATGGCCACACAGAAGAGACCCGAGTACGTCTGTTGTGGTAAACGGGTAATTAGGCCTCGGCAATAGGTTTGTGTTTATGAGGAAAGATTGGTAGGGATTTTGTAGGAGGGTCTTAGATTGGAACAATTTGGTTTTGTAATGATATAAATAGGATAATGGGATAAAAGTGATGGTGTCCGTGTAACGGATAGGTACGTATAATAGGATGTCACTTTGGCATACATTCTACCCATTTTGGTGTAGTCTGTAGAATGATAATTATGATGACAAAAGCATTTAAAACCAGACACTTGAACACACCTTAACGCAGAGTATTTCGTATTGTATTGATACTTTTAACCTCTGTGTTCTTACACACTAAGTAACAAAATTCTTTGCATGAAATTTTATCTCACATTAATTTATTGAGTAATATAAGTTCATTAAATATTTTTCCATGCAGAGAACTTTGTCAAACACAAAAAAAAACACCTTATCAATAGACGCCATAAAGTCTTGTAGAAGAATAAGATGTAGAGTCGAGTATTGTAATGATACCTTTTGACTCTACGTAGAGGAAAGAAACAAAACTTCCTACTTTCAATGTCACTGAGAAAGTAAGACACACAACAACTAATCTAAAAGACATCTGCTAAGACTGCGCTAAAGAAACAAAAAAAAAACAGGAGTCTTCTGTACGCCGCTGAGTCCTTTTCACCGTCTTGTCCTGAGTCAAAAGGGTTCAAGATCGGCTCCCAGGAACAGGTGCGAGACTTAATCACAATATGGAAGTAGGAAATGGATTTGTAGACACATTTGCGCTGATTTCCCGACATTTTTCGGATAATAAATTTTAAATATCTTAATAATCTTACCGAAATTATGTAAACGCGCGAAAGTAATTACACTTAATATCGATGTATGAATCGGATTCTGACCCAATACGAATGAAAGGGAAAGATCGCACCCAAAATATACCAATTACAATTAAAATAGCCAAAAGATAAACAGCTGGCGCGCGCGACTGTCTATTTATAACCGGACAAATGATAAATCCATCCAAAATTTGTGACGCTAATAGATATTCGTACTTTAAAACTTGGTATCAATCCAATTATAACGAGAAATGTGTCTACAGCGTTGAGAGATGGGAAAGGTGATGTACATGCACACTTCAAGGCTGCAACTCCTGACCGGCTCCTCGACTTACGTAAATGAGTTTATGGTAATATCTCTGCTTCAAATTATACAATACTGAAGCGTCGTTGAGATATGTCAAGTTGGACATATCTTCGCATTTTTCGTACTTGGGCGGGTTGACTTGCGCTACTTGATCCTTTTTGAAGTCTTTAGTCTGCGGGATAGATTGTTATGTTAGTTTTATTATAAGGGCCGAGGCGCTCTCGGCGCCTACTTACATAAATAAGTTTCGCGTAATATCGTTGTCGCAGATTGTGGAGTACGGCAGCGTCGTTTAGGTACGTCAGGTCTGCCATGTCCTCGACTTTTTCGAATTTCGGCGGGTTTACTTGTGAGAGCTGGTCCTTTTTAAAAGTCTTCTCCTGCTCAGTTAAGAAATTTGTTAAGTATTTGATTAGGTATTGTCGTGACTATCGACAATGCTTCTTGTTAGATAACTCTTAGATACGTTTTTTTTTTATTCAATCACTTAACTGAGTATCACTTAGCTAAGTACCTAACTAACTATTTTCAAAATAATCTCAATGACTAAATATTGACATTGACTTTCATTTGCTATATTTTCGTTGCTATTTAAGAGCAGTATGATACCCAAAAACAATTGAAGTCACATTACAATCTGTAACGAAAATTATAATACCTGTTGAAAAATCAAGGTTTTTTAAAGTGTTTGTAACATAATTTACCTCGCCACCGGGCAGGTTGACGGTGACCAGGTCTCCCTTGGTGGCCTTGATCTCGCCCTGCACGAAGCCCTCCTTTTCATCAGGCACCCAGCATGCCTTCTTGCCATCGTAAGGTTTGCTCTGGTCGATACGCTTCTGTTCCAGAGAAACGAACAGGTACGGGGTCGGATCGGGGTCCTCGCCCTCTTGGACGACAGGTTTCGGCATTTTCGGAGGGCTAACGAGACTTTTGGGCTAGTCGAGACACGAGAACACAGCCCTGGAGCCTTCCTGCGAACACACGCGAACGGTTAGTGGCGACTGTCGGGCCGAGCCGATCGAGAAGCAGCGAAGCCCGCGTGCGCCTATTTGTGGCCGTGTAATCCGAGTAGCGCTCAGCTGGGAACGATGCCAGCGCCGCGCGGTTTGCGTAATCCTAACTTTTATGCTAGAGCGTTTTTATTAGCTTATACCGAACGGCCCTTCGCGGATGTTACGTCACGGCGGAATGCGCGATTGGAGACTAGCCAACTGATTCGTCCGTCACTGGATTGTTTTAGTCTTTTAAGGTGCTGGTCGGTGGGTCACTATGACTTTGATTGTTGTGATTGCTTTCAGGTGATCGCTTCCTCTTTCTATTTTCAAATATCGAATATTTTAAATAGCTGTTCTATTTTATGTTCAGTTTGATTTTTTTTTAGTAACTTTTAATGATGGTCATTTATGACTTTATTGTGTCATGAATTTCAAAATTGATTGTACTTTCCAATCCGTAATTAAGGTTTACTTTAAGTAATTTGTTTTTTTTTCAGTTTCAAATATCAATCTATCAAAAGTGGCTTTAAGTTTAAATCATCCATTAAAGTTTGCCAATCAATCCTAAATCACAGGTCAATCCAATAAAAGTATTTTATTGGTAACAATCTAAAATCATCATTAGGAACCACAGACCGATCACCGCGCCCCGTTCGGAGCCCACTTCACAAACAATCCAATGTACACGAGAAATCAGCAGCGTCCTTGGGCCACGTCACTAAGGGTTGTATGCACTGAGGGTGGCACTCGCGATGCACTGCACAGATAGGCGCACGGGACACACGTCCACGCGTACTCACGTTAGAAGCCGTTCTGACCGGCGGCGGGGAGCCTTGATGCTTTTTATACCGGCAATACGATACCATCTCGCGCGATCACCCCATTTTAGGCGGATGCCAGCCAGCCCAGCTACTTTCAGAGGAGGTTAGCTTTCACTTGGGCGGGAGCGGCCGCCGGATCGCCTGCGTCGATCCACGTCAAAATTCACATGCACTTCAGAACGTGTACCGACGTTTGGTTATCACGACACATGTTTACAAACTCTGGAACGACGCTGGATAAAATCATCAGACGCAATGGAAAGGAGAACGATCGTAAATATTGTATTAAAACTGGGAAATGTAAACATCTTTACGNAGCTTTCACTTGGGCGGGAGCGGCCGCCGGATCGCCTGCGTCGATCCACGTCAAAATTCACATGCACTTCAGAACGTGTACCGACGTTTGGTTATCACGACACATGTTTACAAACTCTGGAACGACGCTGGATAAAATCATCAGACGCAATGGAAAGGAGAACGATCGTAAATATTGTATTAAAACTGGGAAATGTAAACATCTTTACGCATTATTTTAAAGTCGAATTGAGGGATTTCGTTATTGAAAGCGAGATATGCTATCATAAAATTTAATCAATTCTCGTTTTCGTGATTCTGTATAACATTACAATCTAATGCGGTCTAGTAAAACTAAATTGTTACTTTTATTACACTATAACATTAATTGTAATCAAATAAATTTACAATAAAAAGTACAGTTAAATAGCTATAAAGAGTTAGAATATTCATCTAGATGTAACTTCGAATAGAATGAACTGGTTTTGGAGTGTAATTAGGGAAAGCGTTTTGTACTAAACAATTAATTAACACAAAGAATTTCTATAACAAAGCTTTCAATGAGGCTTTTTCTTATCTGAGCCATAAAAGTGTATAATATTTTTATTATAAACACATTGGATTCAAGAAGAGTTTCAATATTTAATGTATTTCACCCATATCTCGTCTCTTCCTCCTATATACTCAGGTTTCAAAAGTCTCAATCGTTTACAAAAATACTGTTACCGTTAAATTTGTCTTTCGATTTCGACGTGGAACAAGAAACACGATCAACCAACATGGCCTCGAGAACTGTAAAGCTAAATAGATGCGTTATGAGTATTTTCATACATGTGCCTATTAGAAGATCCTTTGTCTAGAATTTTCTATTTTTTACGATTGTATTTTTATCACTATATTTATTGCCTTGGATCGTCAGACGAGTTCGCGGACTCGTGTTGGTATTAAGTCGTTATCGGAGCTCATGAAAATCGACAAGTTAATGCCCCAGTCTTCCATAAGACAAATGATGTGGAAGTCTTATTGAAATAATATAAAATTGTAATATGGTTATCATATCTATTAGAAGGACTGACTATTTGTTCTAATATCAATAATATTAGGGAGAAATTATTATTAAGGAAACTTGGTTAAAGATAAAAGAAAGGGAAAAAGGTGATTTTCTTTATAAATTGTTGAGTTCTTATTAGAAAGGGATAATTCAAACCTTTTACCTCTCGACATGTGAATGAAGGCGCATTTGATTCCACAACGTATTGAGCAGTCGGAACGGCGTGTGTGCTGCTGCCCAGGGTCAAGTTTAAAACGTGCTTGAAATTCGCATTCCAGTTCTATATTTGTGTTATACGGCCGTCAGATTGAAACATTTGTACCTACGTGTGATTGTTTTGAAGGATGTGAATTGATTGAGTCATTTACTTATTTAAATAATATATTTTAGTAACTGCTTAGTAGTTTATTTTTAATTAGAGAGGATTTTAACACGAACTTGATACCTTCATGGATTGATGTAGAAATATATGAGGGCTATTCAATCTTTCAAATTAGACTGTTTCACGGTAGGAATAGGTGGGATGGTAGTACCTACCCGCGACTTTCCTATAGGCCCTACCTTCAGTTATCAACTACGTAAATTTATAAATATACTGGTTCTTCTTGTTTTTGTCCTTATCCCACATTATGTGGGCTCGCCGCAAATCTTATCATGCTGCATAGAGATCAGGCATTAGTTTTACGACCTAACGCCTGCCTGACGTCAACTCTCCTTGGGTTTTATCTCCAGTACAACATCCATTGCAACACGCCAGAGGGAGGGATTTTTTGTTTCTTCTTTTGGTGTGTGTTTTCAATTCTTTTATGTTTTTAAATGCCAAAAACATAAAAATATGACTTTATATTCGTTTTTTTCTTATTATCTTCACGATGTTATTATTTCGTGTGAGTCATTCGTGAGCACACGTAAACCTGTATACACTTAAGGAAATTTTTACTTTGCTCTAGACAGTCGGATATGCTCACGTCCCATCTTGCCTGAAGCAGTAGCCAGATTATAATCTTCGGATGTGTCATGATGATCTAAAGACAACGGGTAAACTATTTGAATAAACATTTACAATAATTGAGCAATTTGCATGATCTCTCTCGAAGATGCTGAAATAGAGAGTATGTAACGGTAGGCAGCGGCTTGGCTCTGCCCCTGGCATTTTTGACGTCCTTGAGAAACGGTAACCCCTCACCGTCAGGTAGGCCGTGTGCTGATCTGCCTGCAAGGATAATAAAAAAATTCATAATAGTCTACAGGAATAGGAGCAAGATGAAAAGTAGCTATTTTTTTTTATTGCTTAGATGGGTGGACGAGCTCACAGCCTACCTGGTGTTAAGTGGTTACTGGAACCCATAGACATCCACAACGTAAATGCACCACCCACCTTGAGATATAAGTTCTAAGGTCTCAAGTATAGTTACAACGGCTGCCCCACCCTTCAAACCGAAAGGCATTACTGCTTCACGGCAGAAATAGGCAGGGTGGTGGTACCCACCCGCGCGGACTCACAAGATCTCCTACCACCAGTAATTATGCAAATTATAATTTTGCGGGTTTGATTTTTATTACACGATGTTATTCCTTCGCCGTTGAATTCAATCGTGAACATTTCCTAGCTACTCCTTTATGCTTCTTGTTTTAGCTTCAGTCATTTTTTTTAGCCCCGTCTGCTTGCGATACCAATATAGAATGTATTTACTCGATAAATAAATGTTAATGCAGAGAAAATTTTGCATGAAAATCGTTCATCAAACAGTTTATTTCGCTGCTCCGGCTCAAAAAACACATATCTTCAATTTATAATCATGGGTTGGGTTCTACCGCGAATTTACGAAATTCAGCTATAACTTGCGAGTGATTATTTTTTTTTATTTTTTTTTTTGCCCTTGTAGGCAGACGAGCATACGGCCCACCTGATGGTGAGTAGTTACCGTCGCCCATGGACTTCAGCAATGCCAGGGGCAGACCCAAGCCGCTGCCTACCGCATAATACTCTCCACATGCCTCTTTTAAAGAAGGACATGTAAGGGAAACACCGTGGAGGGGAGCTCATTCCATAGCCGGATGGTACGTGGCAAAAAAGACCTCTGGAAACGCACTGTCGATGAACGCAGCGGTTCCAGATAATATGGATGAACTCTGCTCCGATGGCGGGGGGTGCGATGATAAAAAGGAGATGAGGGGATCATCTCAAACAATTCCTCAGCGCTAAATACAAAGTTTTTATAACTCTTTTTTACTTGAATAATACTACTTTTACTATTTGAATAGCACTTTTTGGTAGCCTAAGAGGCTATTCCATCTAGGCTAGGGTTGGTCGCGAGGCTTAACCTGAGAGAGTGTCCCAACACTAGCCTTAACAAGAGCAGTGTTTCTCAGAATTTACCACTGGATCGGAATGGCGACCTATTGAGAGGATCCGGCAAGAAACTTAGTGGGCTGTGCCTATGGATTAGTTCGCTCGAAGAGCTCAACGAGGACGGTGGATCAACACTAATAAATAATGATTAGCCATATTTGACGTATTGTTTTTGGTATTGGTGTTTAAAACCTTAGTATTTATTTTATAAAATTAATGGTCCCCAAAACCAAATGAGGACGAAATCTCAATTCGTTAAAGAATGCAGATTTTCAGATTTCCAACTTATCGTTTGAAATGACGGCCGTCTGGTGTAGTGGTAAGTGACATGGTCACTACACAAGGCGGTCGCGGGTTCGAATCCCGCCAAGGGAAGATATTTGTATGATAAATATAAATGTCTTTTCCAGGATTATGGATGTCTATTAAATATATGTATGTGTATAATAAAAATCTTACATTTATATCCGTTATCTGGTACCTGTAACACAAGTTCTTTACGAACTTATCACGGGACCAGTTAAAGTGGCGTGATTGTTTTTAAAAAAAAAAAAAAAATGATAATGACAGATCAGTAAATCTACTAACAAAAATAAAGAGTTTGCTCATCATCTGTGTGCGAACATTCCAATAGGCATATAGAATCGATAAAAGCATTAAGTATATATAAAATTTGGTTGATTATAAGCTGTTATAAAAGAATTTTTTTGAAGACGGATTGATATCAATCTGTCATACATTCCATTCTCGATGAGATTGGCGTTGGATTAGACATGATGATTTGGCGCGGTTTCATTTTAATTATTATGGATGAATGTTGTATAACGATTATGGATGGGAAATAAAAAGTGCTTGATTTTCTCTGCTTTCATTAATATTACATCATTATAACACAAAACTGTAAGGCAATCGTTCCCGAAACTCTAACGCCTTTTTTTTGTATTAAATGAGCATAGTTGGAAATTTCCCTACAAGTGACGTCATTCAAGGCTAAAACAAGCGACAAGTTGCAATAGTAAGATGCGATACGCGACGACTTCAGAATCGGTGACCAGCGCCTGCTTACGGATAGTTTTTGATGCAAATAAGTTAACTGAACCATAGATTAAACACAAAAGCACAATGACTAACAACATACTACATTATACATGGTAACTAACGTTTTTAAAGTTCCAGAATTATATAAATTAAATATTAATTATACGAGATTTATCTCTGTAATTAAAGGTACGTTTTATTTGCTATTAGCATCAACGGCTCCATGTTTTTAATTAAGCTTCATTTACATTTACCCCATTCAAATACCTGAAGAAGTTTTTTTGTTATGATATTTTTTTCTAAATTTTAATCTCTAAATGGGTCTACTGTTTGCAGAGATGTC